GCCATCAAAGTCTAAGACTCTGGGTGGATTTTTTTTTTTTTTCCAAAATTGAAGAAGAGAAAATGGAGACCCCGATTACAAGATGAAGAAAACCAGTGGCTAGTACCTGAAAGGCCAAAAGAAAAATCACATCATCCCGTTGCCCTCATTAGTCCGGAATACAAGGTGATGACACACAGCCATACATACATACCAAAATCGTCCCACAAAAATGACAAGGGTATTCAACATGGTAACATTTGTATGAAGACAAAACTTAATAAAATATAGATATAGATATATATGGGCTCATAAGCACATAGTATAAGACACAGAAAAGTGTTTGGAAATGCAGGAGTATTCCAAACAGGTGAGGAGACACGAGTTGTTAAAAAAAAAAACCAAAATCAATGAAAAGTATGAGGACAATGGTATTAAAATGAAAGGACCTTATACCCTAAAGAGCTACTAACTGGGGAGGAAAAAAAGCACACCCCACTTTTAAGTGTTCCAAAGCCCTTTAGAGAAATATGATTAGCAGAATACCTTAGAAAAGAACATTACAACAGTCCAGCTGGTGTGGCTCAGTGCACTGAATATCGTGCCATGGACTGAGAGGTCCTGGTTCGATTCCCAGTCAGTCCACATGCCTGAGTTGTGGGCTCAGTCCCTGGTGGGGGGCATGTAGGAGTCAGCTGATTGATGTTTCTCTCTCACATCCATGTTTCTATCTCTCTCTCCCTTCCTCTCTCTCTAAAAAAAAAAATACAACATATGGTATCACATACATATAAGTTGATATGGAAAACATGTGGGTACTTTTCCACTTTCACAGTCAGAATTAAAAAATGAGAATGCAAACCCGAGATGACAGATATAATAACCAAGGTGAGAAATGTTAATTGGTAACTTCAAGGTAGCAGTAAAGCAACTCCTGGGCCACAAAGCTCAATGAAAGGAGGCTAAAAGTGACTCACTTAGGTTGAGCTGCAGAACCATAAACCCTAGTAAGTATTTGAGAAGCTAGAACCTGTGCCTGGGTAAGCAGGTTTATGTTGCTGTGGCTTAACTATCACCTCAAACAAAACTGAGTACCCGCTATGTGGCAAGTGCCTTGCTGGGTAATGTCAGGTAGCCCTGCCTCCAAAAGTCCTGAGTCCACTGAGTCTAATTCAAGTAAGTCAATTATAAGACACATGATAACGGCATGGTGAAAAACAGACCTCACTAGAATATAATAGGAAGTCCTGGATAACTGAACTCACAGGGCACCTGAGGTTTGTTCCCAACTTGGCACTGAGCAGGCTGTGCGCCCTGAGCAGGCTGTGTGCCCCTGAGCAGGCTGTGCGCCCTGAGCAGGCTGTGCGCCCTGAGCAGGCTGTGAACCCTGAGCAGGCTGTGAGCCCCTGAGCAGGCTGTGAGCCCCTGAGCAGGCTGTGCGCCCCTGAGCAGGCTGTGCGCCCTGAGCAGGCTGTGCGCCCCTGAGCAGGTTGTGCTCCCCTGAGCAGGCTGTGCGCCCTGAGCAGGCTGTGCGCCCTGAGCAGGCTGTGAGCCCCTGAGCAGGCTGTGAGCCCCTGAGCAGGCTGTGCGCCCCTGAGCAGGCTGTGCGCCCCTGAGCAGGCTGTGCGCCCCTGAGCAGGCTGTGCGCCCCTGAGCAGGCTGTGCGCCCCTGAGCAGGCTGTGTGCCCCTGAGCAGGCTGTGAGCCCTGAGCAGGCTGTGTGCCCCTGAGCAGGCTGTGCACCCCTGAGCAGGCTGTGCACCCCTGAGCAGGCTGTGTGCCCTGAGCAGGCTGTGAGCCCTGAGCAGGCTGTGCGCCCCTGAGCAGGCTGTGCGCCCTGAGCAGGCTGTGCGCCCTGAGCAGGCTGTGTGCCCCTGAGCAAAGTACTCACACTCTGCACGACAGCTCCCACATGTACACCAGATAAAGGTGGACTATTTGGCTTCTATTAGTTCTATCTTTCTCTTTTTTCAACTGAATTCTGGAGGCCAGACTCTGAATTAAGCTATGAATGAAAAGACTTTATGGAACAGAAACCCAGGAACGTGTATCCTGAAAGCAAAAGATAGCGTGAGTTGAGGCACAAGATCCGGCATCATCAATTCACCCTGTGAATCATAACTACTACCTGCTCTCTGGGATTTTACTCATGGTCTAGAACATCCCAAATGGACAAAAATAAAAAATAAAATGAATATTAACTTTAAAATGTATAAAAATTTAAACAAAAATAACATGAATTATAAAAATGTTTTGAGTAACAGAGAATGCACTACCATTTAAATTAAGTATAAAGTAAAGCAAATCTTGTACTTCTAACAAGTATCCTGTCATAATATGCAGCAGATGAAGAGACGTAGCTTCATTTTAAAAAGTCTGAATATCCATAAACCTTTCCCCATATTTGCCTTTAAAATGTATATATGCAAGGGAACTGTTCTTCCTTCACATAGTCAAAAAAGGTTACATCAAAAAGGGGGAGAGATTGGCAGCATTGCAAGAAAGAACCTAGACTTCAGAAATTAAATGAGACTGTGTAGCTTCAAGGGAGGGTGCCATATTCCAAACTGTTTACTGTACGAAAAGAATTACTGAGTGCCGCATTCACCCATCCAGCCATCCGCCATCCATCCAAATATATACATACATAAGAACATACAGACATACATTTGACCATACACAATCATTCCTACTAAAAACACAGTAGCAGAGTAAGAGCCAAGAGGAACATAAGGACGAGTGAGAAACCATGCCTTGTTGCTTAAATGGGGAAACAAAGCTTACATGCTCATAAGGAAGTAGGAAGTAGGAAAGCGTCTCCATCACATGGGGCACGCTGGGTAAGGACAACGGCCTCCGTCCAAAAACTCAGGAGCCAGGAAACCACAGAGAACGAACACATCCCCCCTCTCTATGCTACACTGCTTGATGGGAAGAGCCGCTTGCTTCACAGGGTCGCAGGAGAAGGCAGTGCAAGGGTGAGAAAAAGGTGCATGTCCCACACAGACGACATGTTCAGTGCCCGACAGAGGAAGAGCAGGGGGAATACGGAAAGCAGACATGCGATCATCAGAGTGGGATGTGTGTGGGAACCCAGGGAAGGAAGTGATGACTTCTGATCTGGGCCACGTCCACACATTTTGGAGAAGGCGCTCCAAGTAGATTTTGGTAGGTGACAAAAGGTGTGGAATGGCATGTTAAGAAGAAGCAAAGAGCTGAGCAAAGAGATGCCGAGTAGCAGAGATTACAGTGTCCCTAGAGGACAAGGCAGGCAGTAAGTGAATGTCACACAGCACGGTGAAGAAGGGGCACCTCAAGGCAGGGCCAGTCACCCAACAGCCAGCTCCCCATAACGTGGAGCATTGGGAGTGAAGCAGCGAGGGAGACCATTCTGTGCAGCTCTCCTCCCTCTCCCGCATGCCACGGGTCGGCCAACCTAGCAGGACCTGCCCCACCCTGAACCTTGTGAGTACACCGACTGTCACACCTCCTGAAACGTCCTCACACGCCTGTCTCCTGCTCGATAAGGGACCCTGTATTTCCTCCTTTCATGTTACAGGGAAGTCCATTTTAGCTCTCCCCAAAAGTTAGGAGACCAAATAGCGATGCCCCCAGGGAGCAGACCAGGGGAAACATTGAGAAAACACACGAGGAAGCCAACATATGGTCTTCCTGTCCGTGTGCAGGGGGATTCTTTCCAGATCCCATTCCCGGTTCCGCAGCCACCAAAGAACAACGAGCAAAAGAAAAGCAGGTGCACAGAGTCCCGCTCAACTGCAAAGAGCAACCTGCAAGGCCACTCCGACTTCAAGCACTGCCCCGGAGATGGGGGCACCGAGGGGACCGTCTGTTGTCTTCCACAGCAGCTCCCTGTTGGTCTTGGCATTGCCCTTTCTGCACAGAGGATGTCAAGAGACCCACAGCCAGAGCTCACGCGTGCACGCTGGTGCCTGACCTGCTCACCAGCTGCCTGAGCACTGCAGCCGCCTCACACACCGGACAGTCCTAATGTCCTAAGAGACGATCCAGGTGTCGACTGGGGGCAGGGAGAGGACCAGAATGAAAAAGAGAGGCTGCACTATATCACAGGGTGTGACACTGCTGGAAAAAAACTAACCAAACAAAACACAGGCATCATCTAGGAATGAAGCAGAAACACGCTAGAGAGAACGCAGTAATTTTTTTTTTTAAATAGGATAAGGGCAGGGAGAGAACATAGAGAACGGGGAGCTGAATCTCCATATACTGCCTCTTCTCTCCCAGCCACCAGAAACATAACGTTCTTGTTTGTTAGCTCTAAGTTGCTGTTTCATAAGTTGGGAGAAATGGCTGACTCTGAGGTGCAAAATGTGGCAGCATGTCACCCACACAGCACGGCATTCCGGGTGCTCCCTGGGCGGCCCCGTGTGTGGATGGCACACGTGTGTGTGTGCCTGACATGCTGAGCTCATGTAGACCGTCCGACTCCACCTGACGCAAGCTGAATGTGCTGCTGTGAAAACTAAAACTAGGCTTCACTCACATGTATCTGTGCGCTTCAACAAACGCAGATCTCACGGGGCTCTCCTGACAACTTATCCTACAGCAACTTAGAGGAGGAAAAAATAGCCAGAGAAGGCAAACCAATCCCAGGTGCCTTATTAGGTTCACGGCAGATGGGTTTTCCTTAAGATCACATGGCAGCATTTTGAGACATTCATCCAACGGCAGGAGGGAGAGTCCACTGGGGGGCAGACACATTTCTGCAGGACAAGGGAAGGGGGCAGAGGACAATGCAGTAGAAGGACAGTGAGTCTATCCCTAATTGTCCGTGTAACCATAGCCATGTAAACTCTAAGAGGTCTCAATCTCTTTATCCTTAAGGGAAGCGTTGGCTTTGATGGTTCCTGGGTGTTCTTCATAGTCAATCAGAAATGAGAAACACACTACAAATTCTTGAGCTACCTTTTCCTCCTGTCAATCACTTTTATCATATTGAACCCTCCCACTTTGGGCACCCAACTCTGAAATCCCTGCACTTACCGTCACCTCCAGATTGCTTGTATGGGTTGTACTTGGGCTTTGGAGCAACTACTGGTGCAAACTTTTTAGGTGGCTGTTGTGTGGACACTGAAATGCTGGGGGTCCCAAAGGAGTGGGTGGTCTCCATCCGTGCAGGCACATGGCCAAGGGGCTCTCCAGTGCTTTTGGGTGGCAGCCAAGAGGGGTGAGACATTGTTGGTATCTGGAATTAAAAAAAAATACAATTGTTTTTATGGAAGCATGAACATGAGGCAAACATACCTTACTTCATTATTATTTCATTTTAATCCATACTTAACGAAGTCTTAATAAAGCGCTCTGAGAAGAAGAAAGAAGAAAGAGAGATGATGCATGAAGAAAGAAGGAAGAGGGGAGGAGTAGATCAATTGAACACTCCAACTAACTAACCTTAAATACCTCTCTTCTAGCAGGTGCCTATGTTAGTGCCTAGGGCCCTTGGGAAATAGATATAAATAAGAAATAATCCCTAACCTGGAGTTTCTGCAGTAGGAGAATTTTATATCAGTAAGATTGAAGAAAGCTTTAACTGTATTAATAATCTATTCAAGTAATGATCACATCAATTAAATGATGATATATACCTAACTGAGATGTTGTTAACTAGGTGAGGACTGAAGTGTTGCAGCAAAAAAATAACACTTCTTGGTGGCAGCAGCAGACCTCGCTGATACGGTGACCTTCAGACAGAGCCTTGAATGCTGAGGAGAGGTTGGGCCTGAACAAAGTGAACGAAGTGACATGGACAGAAAAGTACACAGGCCTTACCCTTAGTGTGGCTGGAGGGGGACGAGAAAAAGTTGCTAGCAAAAGAGCTGAACTGTGAATGGAACCAGCACGGTCAGCTTGGTATGCAAGCTCGAGGAGCTGAAACTCACTTAGGCATTAAGAAACCTCCAAAGTTTATTCTTGTAACAGGGCATAAAAAGTGCATGGCAAGATACTTTAAAATGGTCCCTCTGGAAGGAGTGGTTCTTCTCTCCACCAAGGGGCACTTGGCATTGGGAGGATGAGAATATTGTGTGCCACTATGCCTAGGATAATTACTGGCACTTAGTGGCCAGGGGCCAGAATATTCAATACTTGTAATGCACTGGTCAGTCCCACATGACAAAGAAATGTCCCATCAAGAGCTATGCTAAACTGAGCTGCTATCATACTGGACCTTTATGAAAAACGTAACCAGGAAGGGGACAAATCAGCCCAGCCCAGATGCTGTTCTAGACAGATTAAAATACACTAGGTGAGGAGGAAAAGCGAGGCCTGCGTGTCAGAGAGCCGATCACCCCGAGGCAGCCCGTGCTGGGGCTGAGGAAGGCTCTCCCAGCCCGACTGCGAGAGCTCGGCCGACCAGGCAGGCCCGCCAGGCACCCTACCCGCTCCAACCCCAAACCCACCCACCACTTATTAATGGAACTGAATTCATTGGGAGGGCTTTATGATGCTCTCCAGGTGTCTATAAAGACAAAGAGTACAGAAATGCAGGAAAAAAATAAAAGCCTCAGCACGTGGCATGGAAATGGAGGGCTGTGGTAAAGGGGCAAGGAGGGGAACAGTGTTGCCTGGGGTTAGCATCAGGTCACAGGAATAAGTGCATGACCTTGAGCAGCCTCCACGGCCCCATCAGGTGCCTCCGGTACGTCCACTCCCTCAAAATTAAAATAAAGGCCTTGTCCTTTTCAACTTCTCCTGAAGGGTTTTATGGCAGCCAATGAGATAACAATATTCAAGTGCTTTGCATATTGTAAAGTGCTATTCCAACGGAGAGAAGGTAACTGATGGAGGTATAGTTTTCTCAATAAAAGAAGGTAACATTGCCCTGGCCAGGTCGCTCAATTGATTGGAACATCATCCCACACACCAAAAAAGGTTGTGGGTTCTATTCCCAATCAGGGCACCAAGGTTGCAGGTTTGATCCCTGGTGGGGACATGTATGGGAGGCAACCGATTGATGTTTTGATGTTTCTCATGTTTCTCTCTTTCTCTCTCTCAAATCAATTTAAAACTTATCTTTGGGTGAGAATTAAAAAAAAAAAAAAAAAAGGAAGCCCTGGCCAGTTTGGCTCAGCGGTTAGAGTGTCGGCCTGCGGTCCAGAGAGACCCAGGTTCGGTTCCTGCCAAGGGCATGTACCTTGGTTGCAGTTTGTCCCCGGCCCTGGTTGGGTCATGCGGGAGGCAACCACTCGATGTGTCCCTTTCACCTCCATGCTATTCTCTCTCTCTCTGTCTCTCTCTCTCTCTCTCTCCCCCCCCCACACACACACACTCTATCTGAACAAAAAAGATGGGGGAATGTCCTCGGGTGAGGATAAAAAAAAAACAAAAAAAGGAAGATAACATTAATACCAATGAAAAGAACTTTAAATTGACAATCAGGATTTGTTACTGAAGCCAGTAACTGGCTTTTCAGTTTGGTTACAGGGCCTCTTTTCCTCTTCCCAACTGTGTCTTGTGCACATGCTGTGTACATATACGTGCACTAAATTGTGATTTCCTTGAAAGGGCAGGGAGCATATTTTATGCATCCCTAAATCATCATTACAAGGCCTAGCACAAAACCAATATAAAAAAGCATCCACGAATGTCTGGCTTACTCACGATTCTTAAACCTAGCTGCATTTAGAATCATTTGCGAAGATTTAAAAAAAAAAAAAAACAAGCCAAACTCTCTGAGTTGAGAAACACTAATTTTGGTTTTGCTTAATTTTTTGACTTAAAATAAAAAAAAATAAAAAAATAAAAAGATTCTCGGTCTTCTACTAAAAGGGGATAAAAGTGTTTGTTCTGCTTTCAACATGACTCCAGTGAGTATAAGTGGGGACCGAGTAGGGTGAAATAAAGGTTTGGAAATGGTAATGCCCTATGCACTCCTGTAGTATAAGTTTTACTTGTACATTTTTAAAAAATGGGTTAATATTATCCTTGGCACATCTCTGTAACTCTACAGTTATTCTAAAATAGAAACTTTAAAGATGGGTTCGTATAGGATGTGGCGATTTTGAAAGCAAAGCAGCCCATTTCCAGAGCAATCCCACCTGCCCCCTGACAGTGGAACCCTGGGAGAGGAAGGAGCTGGACACCTAAGCATCAGTTTGCAAACCACTGGCTCCACCCTCTCTTCAGTCCTCCCCAGCACCATCGATGAGCCCGTACTGCCTTCCCCATGGAGGCTCCTCCGGGAGCGCCACCTCCTCAGAATGCCGGGGTCTGGCCAAGTAGCCGCTGCAGGTGACCGTCACAGCCTCTTCTCATGTCATTCTTCAGTATGTCGACAGTGACACCCTTCCCAGGATTTGTAACGAATGTTCATGACCCGGAACCTTGGCTCACGCTGTGCCCACCATCTACAATGCCATTTTACATTTTACATTTTACTGAGCATTTTTTCTCATCTGGACCCAGCTTAAATGTCTCTGATGCTATCAACATTTCCCACCGATGGGAGTAGCTTAAGTCTGGGATCTTCTAGTACTTGTTTCGTACTTACAACAGTCCACACAGAAGCTATTTTTTCACCGGCCGATCTGCTCCAATAAGCTGGAAGCTCATGAGTGGTCTCACCCTACCAGCGTGGTGTCTGGTTAGGAGCCCTTAGAAAAATCATGCGATGCATGAATGGGTGAGTGAATGAATGCTCATCTCCTTGGTTACTCATCCCTTTCGAGAATCTCTCTGTCCCCCTCCTTAACATCCACTGATATAATTAACTCTTTTTCCCCTCCCTTAATTTAGCAATATAATGAATCAAGCAGCTAGATTTCTAGATATTGAATAGCTTTGCACTTCTAGAAGAAAATCCTACTCAATTTGTTGTAGTGTTACAATATATTAATAGATTGAATATACTATTTTATAGAGAACTTTTATACATATAATAATAAGTAAGATCATTCTGCAGTGTTTTTTCTCTACTTGTTTTATTTGTCTTTATTCAGTTTAGATATGAGGGTTCTGCCTCCTTTCTATTCTTTGATCGTGTTTAGTGATGAGAATGAAATTGTGTGATCTTTAAAGGTTTATCAGAATTCAATGTCATCTAGATATAAAAAAATTCTTAAATAATAAATCTTCATCATATTTCCAATAACTTTCATAATTGTAGAAGTTTTATGCTTCTTTTGAAGTCATTTCTGAGCATTTGCATTCTGTGGGAAATTCTACTGAATCTTTGGGTTTTATCTCTGTTCCCTTTCAAGCAAGCTAATTCTCAATTTAACATGATGGCCATCTACTATGCATCATTTAGATCTTGAGCATCCCTTCCTGCTAGCCCTTAAAGACATATGCGAGTCACACACCCTTTCCCTACACTTCCACGGTGCCTGGAACACTGCCGTCACCACACTCCTCACACCCTCTGCCTCTCTGCTTGCCTGCGCCTCACACTACACTCTTGAATCCTTGAGAGGAGAAGTAATTATCTTCTGTAATACCAGGGCCTAATACATGATAGGTACTCAGTAAATATTTCTGTTAATGTAGTGAATGAACGTATTTATTGGTCTAGCACTGGAGCTCCAGATAAGTCAGATTCTCATCCTATACTCAATAAGCTTAAAGCCTACCTGAGGGAGGTGTATTTATGTATGTGAAAAGAGAAAAAGAAACACACAGAACATACAGAAAATGTGGAACATGTCGCAGGAGCCAGCACAGGCTGGCCCTTAACAAGGACTCTGAAAACCAGATGGCCCTAAAAGGGAAATGGAGCAACAGGGACAATGGCTGGAAATACTGTGAGCTCACGGAAAACATAAGGCGTTTCTATGGGGCGTGGAGCAGACCACTTACACTAAAATGAGGGGCTTAGGAAGATTACTTAGGGAAAAGGTATGAAAGATAAAATAAGCTTGTTATTAAAAGTTTTATAAAGAGAAATAAGAAGCCAGAACTTTTATCTTTGAACAGGAATCTAATAAGAGTGAAAACTGTATGGAAGGAAGACGAATCCATGCAGGATGAATCCAGGGAAGGCACTAAACACATCAGAGGCCCCATGGCCCCAGTCCTGGCCTCAGCTTTGCCAGGTGACCTTCAACAAGAAAGGATACTTATCTGCAAAATGAATGTCTATAAGGTCCAATCAGCTCTAACATGCTATAGTGTTTTCCTTCTCTGAAATCTTAATTACAGCCCTTCATTTTGATAAAAGGGTTTGAGGGAATCTCAAGTTTAGTGAAGAAG